AAAGGCCCTAGTCTTTGTCTTAATACCTCCCAGTGGGGCTAGAGCTATAGAGGCTGCAGACTGCATTTAAACCCCTACAGGCCAGAGCTACCAGACAATTGCCGGATTAGACATGAGAGGGCTTTTCTGTTAATCCAATCTATGGTGGTCACTAGCCTCAGTTTACCTTCCTGTCAAGTGGGATCACACTTACATTAGCCTTTTTTAGTTTCATTGTTTTTCACTGCGCACCGTGTGTGTGTGTGTGTGTGTGTGTGTGTGTGTGTGTGTGAGAGAGAGAGAGAGAGATAGAGAGAGAGAGAGAGAAACGGAGGGAGGAAGTGAACGGGTGACTGCGTGAGCGAGAGCTAGTGAGCAGGGAGCACCAGAGGAGGCCAGAGGTCTTTGATCCCCTGGAGCTAGAGTTACCAGAAGTCAGATGTCTGTGCAAGCAGTATGAGCTCTTAACTACTGAATCATATCTCCAATCCCCTGTTTTACTGTGACAAGGTCTCACATAGTTCAGGCAGCTTTTGAAAAAATTGTATCTTGCCAGGCATGGTGGTGCACACCTTTAATCCCAACACTCAGGAGGCTGAGGCAGGTGAATCTCTGTGAGTTCGAGGCCAGCCTGGTCTATAAGAGCTAGTTCCAGGACAGGCTCCAAACCTACAGAGAAACCCTATCTCAGAAAACCAACCAAGCAACCAAACAAACAAAAAAAGAAAGCACTCACCCCAGACAGGGAGCCCACAACAGGCCAGAGTACAGAGAACACCAAAGACCAACTTGGTGAACCAATGAGTTTTATTGGGGATTGCTTACAGGAACATGGGTGAGGGGTTACTTAACAGCAGCAGAAAGGACTCTAAGCCAGCTGCATCACCAAGGCCCATCCCAGCAGGAGTGACAGCTCACACAGTGGGAACCTGGAGCACACTGCACAGCCTGCAGGCAGCTGCGCAGGTTGGAGAGCGTCCTTTCCAGGTGCCTAGGTTGTCTAACCCTCTTCCAGACAGCTTTTTTTATCTGAGTGTTTGTAGCTTTTCTCCTCTCCTCAACACACATTAATTGTTTGCTCTGGCAGGGAGTGGCTGTGGAGCCCTCGGAGTTTTTGAAGCTACTTTGTTTTTGTTTGCCTCCCTGTTTAAGGAGCTTCCCTACAGGATAGAATGTTTTCAATGCCTCCATCCTTCCAGTGTGGTGTGTGTGTGTATGTGTGTGTGTGTGTGTGTGTGTGTGTGTGTCCTGCCAAAGGGTTTCAGGAGTCCACCCGCCTCTACCTCCTAAGTACTGGAAATAAAGGCATACACCACCACACCCAGCTGAGTGCTTCTTAAATGGATTCTTAGAATTCTATCTTGGGTCGCCATGGTTGCACATCAAGTGCTCTTACCCATTAAGCTGTAGGCCCAGTCAGTGATCCTGAACTTCCGATTCTTCTATCTCTGTTTCCCAAGGGCTGAGCTGTACATCCTATTCCCAAGGGCTCAGCCCTGGGAGTGGAGCAGGACTTCATGCCTCCTAGGCAGGTGCCTTAGCAACTTCCTCCTCCCCTCTCTCACACTCTGCTTTCTGTTCATATTATCTAGCATTGTGGTTGCAAAGACCCAGCCCTTTCCCATCATGCAAGTATTGAATCAACCTCCGTGATCAGAAACTGTTGGCTTTTGCAGCTGCTGTCCTTTATAAAGTTGCGTTTATTTATTATGTGTGTGGGCTGCAGGCAGTCAGCTCACTTCATAGCAGGCACGCAGAGGCCAGAGGATCCTCGCAAGAGTCAGTTCTTTGCCTTCAATATTGGCGGCAAGTGCCTCTACTTCTGATCCACTTCACCTCCTCTGCGTTTTCAATTCTGTCTAAAAGTTAACCCACGGTCCATCTTTCTCTGAGAGAGCTGTCAGCTGCTGGACAGTATAGTCTCCCATAAGCTCTCTTCCCTAGACAGGTCTTATGTTCTTGCTGAGTCCTCCTTGGTGACCCCCACTTGCCCATCAAACCTAAATTGGGGGTGGACAGCTTAGGAGCCCTGGCAGGGGTGGGTTACCCCAGTTGACCCTGAAAACATCTAATATTCCCTTATCTTGTCTCCCACTTGTCGTACCAGCCTTCCTATCAGAGACACAGTTTCTTGTAGCTTTTTCATGCTTCTAATAGTTTGAGCTTTTATATATTTGCATGATTAGTTCCTGTGGAATTTTCTGCCTCTGAGTCAGGGCTATTTTTTCCACTTACATATCAAGTATACTGACTTAAACATTTTTGCTCTATCTGTGGACTGATAGTCCTTAGTTTCCTATGTGATCTCTGGTCTTCCTAAAGTTTTTAGAGACAGAGTTTTTCTGTGTGGCCTATAGTCTCAGCTGTGTTGGCCTGGAACTCACAGAGGTCCACTTAGCGTGTCTCCAGAGTGCTGGGAGTAAAAGTGCGTGCCACAGTGGCCTACTCAAGGTTTGAAAATGCTTACAAATATTTATTTACTTTTATTTATGTGTATGCATGAGCACCTGTATGTGTATATGTTCACCATGTACCTGGTGCCTTAGTGGTAGGAAGTGGAGGAGTCTCAGTTCCTGGAACTGGACTTCAGGAGGAGCTATTATGTGGGTGCTGGAAATTGAACTCCAGTCTTCTGCAAGAACAGCAAGTGCTTTCAGCCACTGAGCCTCAGTATTTAAATTTTTTAGCCAGGATTTAGCTATGTAACTCAGGGTGGCCTCAACTCAACTATGTAACTATGTAACTCAGTCCTGCCTCAGTCTCTCAAGTGCTTGGGTGACACTTGTAGAACAGACACCAAGCCCATCATTAGGGGAAAGAGGTTGCCTGGGACTGAGCCTAGGACTTTACAGAAATCAGACCCCTCAGCCCTCTGCCTCAAATAAAGGAACTGATTTGAAACAGGCCTCCTTTGGGCTCAAATCAAAGCCCAGCACCCTGCTGGGTCAGGCTGAAATGACCTTGGCAGGAATGAGATGACATTGAGGCCTCCATGAAGAGTGGCAGGGGTCGGGTGAGCCTACCTGAGGAAGCCATTTGAGGGCTGCCTTTGAGGATGTGGTGGGGAGACTCTTTGTCTGACTGTCCTCAAGGCACTGTCTAGCTCGGAACAGAAGCAGCTTGTTGCCCAGGACCAATCTACTCTGTCCACTGCCAAATCTGGGTGAGGGCCTTCGCGAGGGCCAATGATGTGAGGGCTGTGGGGCTTTCGAGAAACACAGGGTTTCTTTGGGAGTTCTGGTCAGCCTAGGCCATGGCTTGGAGCTTTTAGCCCCGCCTGTTTGCTGATGCCTGTGGCTCCGGGGTCAAGCAAGGCTGGCCTCCCTGCAGTGAGCCAGAGGAGGGGAACTGGCCTTCTCTGGGGACAGCTGATTAGAGAGCAGAGCCCAACTGCGTGTGCTAGACTTTGTGGTGGCAACTGCAGGTATTAATAGTTTTTGTGTGAGGGTGTTCAGCTAGAACTCATGCCTTACACGTTAGGGTTAGGCTCTACCCCTGAGTCACACCCCTGCCCCTCACTGGGGGGAGGGGATTCTAGGCTGGTGCTCTACCCCTTGAGCCTCGACCCAGCCCCTCACTGGGGAGAGAGGACTCACTGGGGAGGCGGATTCTAGGTAGCAGCTCTATCACTGAGTCACACCTCAGTGTGGTTTGGTTTTGGTGGGTGGTTGTTTTGGGTATGTGCAGTAGTGATGAGGGTACAAACAGGGACTTGGGACTTTCACCATGTGCATTGGATACCCTCATATTTTATATATGTATGTGTGTGTGTGTGTGTGTGGGTATGGGTATATATATGCCTATGATGGTATACATATCACACCAACTGTATACCCTGCTTTTTCATTTTGAGACAGGGTTTCTCTATGTAGGCCCTGGCTGTCCTAGAACTAGCTCCTGTAGACCAGGCTGGCCTCAAATTCACAGAGATCCACCTGCCTCTGCTTCCCAAGTGCTGGGATTAAAGGTGTGCGCCACCACCACCTGGCTCTCCTGCTTCTTCAGTATGCTTCCTGGTGGATGGGTGCCCTTATGGAAATGCACACTATATACCTCCTTGCCTGCTGTATAACGTGATCCCAGCTGTGCCCCATGCTGACACCTGCCCTTGATCCCCACCTTATTGAACACCTGACAGTGCATTCTTAAGCCCTACTGCCAGCTGCTACCCTGGCTTTCTGTGCCCGATCTGCAAGGCCAGGATTGGCATTTTCTGTTGTTATTGTGAATCCCAGACTGGTCTTGAACTTGATCTTTTTTTTAAATCTTTATTTATGTTTATTTTATGTGCATTGGTGTTTTGCCTGGATGTGTGTCTGTGGGAGGGCATCAGAACCCCAGGAACTGGAGTTACAGACAACTGTGTGTTGCCATATGGGTGCTGGGAATTGAACCCAGGTCACTACAAAAAACATCAAATTGGCTGGACAGTGAGTTGTATACCTCCCTAAACTACAGAAGACTCTCTCTCTCAAAAAAAAAAAGCACCAATACCCCCCCCCCCGATTTCATTCATGTATTTGAGTTTTAGCCCAAATAATTTCTTTTTGGTTGCTTGTTTTTTTGTTGTTTTGTTTTTCGTGAAAGGGTTTCTCTGTGTAGCCTTGGCTGTTCTAGAACTCGTCTGTAGACCAGGCTGACTTCTAATTTAGAGATTCACCTGCCTCTGTCTCCTGAGTGCTGGGATTAAAGGCTAGCGCTACCGCCGCCCAGATGTCTGCCTGCTTTCTTTCCTCCCTGTGCCTCAGTTTCCATCTTGCATGATAGAGCAGTTGGGGTGATCTTTTAGAGTTCCTGGATGCATTGTTGCGTGAGTCGGTGGAAGGTGGGTGGGTGGAGGGTGAGGCCAGAGCCCGGAGGAGCCACCTCAGGCTCCTAGATGGAGGCTGGGTGAAGGTGGGGGGCTGGGAGAGCTAAATCTGGCCTTCCAGTGAGTGGCAGGAGCAACTGCGGCCCCGCCCGGCCCGGCCCCTTAGGTCGGTCCCTCCCTCCCCCTCCCTTGGTTATTTGGCTGGGGCCTGTCTGACCGGTTTGGGCCGTCCCACTTGCTACTCTGGAGGAGCTGCTGCCGGTGGTGGCTGTGTCCGGGAGGGCACGGACGGTCTGGGCGCCGTCGGGGCCCGCACTGCAGTGATGGGGAAGGATTCGCAGCATTACTACGGGAAGCATGGTATGCGAACCCTTCTTGTGCACCCCGAGGACACCAGCGGGGACCTTGGACTGTCAGGAAAGGTTGCAAAAGGGAGGGGGAGTAATTGCACTTGAATCGCACGTAGTCCGCCCACCTCCCGGCGGTCCCCCTCAGCGTCCTGCACTAGCTCCCACTGCTGCCTCAGACACCGTTCCACTCTCCTCTACCTAGGACCAGGCCGACACCCATCCCTAGAGCACCTGCACTTCTCCACAGTGAACTTTACGTTCTTTGCTCTGGTCCTTGTAAACCCTTCCAGGCATTTTCCATGGGCGACAGCAAGCTGATCAGTCAGCTGGTCACCTCCAGGGACTCTAGTCTCTGCTGTGGTCTCTGATGACCTTGGGTGTAGTCCCCCGGAGGTAGGATGCAGACACAGCTCAACACTGCTTGTGGTTTGGCTGTGTCAACTTCTCATTCACTCATGTTTAATCTTGTTGACTTTCAGGGACGCCTCAGAAATACGACCCCACCTTCAAAGGACCCATTTACAACAGGTAGGATTCCCTGCCTTCCTGGGGAAGAGGGGAAAGGATGGGAGAATGTGTCTCTGTATTCTCCAGCAAAGCAAGATAAACCATTGCAATGTGATTCAAGAGCTGGTTTCTTTAAGGTTCTAGACTCCTCCCATTGGAGCTGAGAACGGAATTGAGCCTCACAAACCTTAGGCATATATTATGCCTCTGCCCTTATATGGATTCTTTTTTTTAAATTTAATTTAATTTACATTTATTTATATGTAAGTATGCTGGTATGTATGTGTGTGTATGTGTGTATATGCTGGTGTGTATGCGTGTGTATGCTGGTGTGTATGGGTGTGGTATGCATTTGTCACTGTGCAGTGTGAAGGTCAGAGGACAACTTGCAGGAGTTGGCTTTCTCCTTCTATCATGGGGTCCCAAGGATCCAAAACAGTTGTCCTGCTGGGCCATCACTCTGGCTTCTCTCCCTCTCTCTGCCTCGCACTAAACAGTGGCTCTACCAGTGGGTGACATTTTCACCCCTACTTTTTGTTTGTTTGTTTAGTTTTGTAGTTTTGTTTTGTTTTGAGACAGGCTCTTTGTAGCCCTGGCTGTCATGGAACCCTCTATGTAGACTAGGATGGCCTTGAACTCACAGAGATCCATCCATCCATCTACCTGTCTCTGCATAAGCCTTCTATACATAAAATTTTATTTGAGCTGAATGTGGCTTCGCAAACCTGTGATCCCATCTACTTGGAAGGCAAGAGGATCGGAAGTTCAAGGCCTGGGGAGGGGATTAATACACTCATAATATATTGCATGGAATTCTCAACTTATTAATACAAGTATTATTTAAAAAAGAGAGTCCTGAGCCTGGTCTGCAGAGTGATTTCCAGGACAGCTAGGACTACACAGTAAAACCCTGTCAGAGTTCTGGGTTAAAGGCATGTACTGCTATGCCCAACTTTTACTTAAAATTATTTTAGATTTAATTTTTTGTGTATAAATGTTTTGTCTGCATATGTGTATGTGTGCCATATGGAGGTTGAAAGAGGGCTCAGATCTCCTGGAACTATATGGTTGTCTTACCTGCATTTATGTCTGGTTTGTGTGCCTGCTTGGTATCCAAGGAGGCCAGAATGAGGGATTGGATCCCCTGGGACTGGGAGTCTCCAGGTCGGTGCTGGGAAACAAACCCAGCGCTCTTAAACCTCGAGCTAGTACTTTAGCCACCCTCTTTTTATTCGTGATTATTATTTCATTTCCTTTTCCTTTTTGTTTGTTTTGTTTTTCAAGACAGCGTTTTTCTGTATAACAGTCCTAGCTGCCCAGGAACTAGCTCTGTAGACTAGGCTGGCCTCTAACTCAGGGAGATCCACAAGTCTCTGCCTCCCTAGTGCTGGGATTAAAGATGTGTGCCACCACTGTCTGGCTAGTGACTGAAGGAAGAAAGAAAGAAAGAAAGAAAGAAAGAGAGAGAGAGAGAGAGAGAGAAAGAGAAAGAAAGTTAGTTTAAGTCTTGCCCAGGTGACTTTCAGAGATTCTTTCTCAAAATTTTAAATGGGTTTGTTTTATTGATTTTTATACGTGTGTTTGCCTGCTTGTATGTATATACATCATATGCATGCCTGCTGTCCACTGAGATCAGAAAAGGACATTAGATCCCCTGGAACTAGAGTTACCAATGGTTGTGAACCACCAAGTAGATGCTGAGAACTGAGCCTGCATCCCCTGGAAGAGTAACAGTGCTTTTTGTTTGTTTCGTTTTGCTTTGTTGGGTGAGTTGGTTTTTTGAGACAGGGTTTCTCTGTGTAGCCCTGACCTGGAACTCACGCTAGACCAAACTGGCCTTGAACTCACAGAGATCTGCCTCCCTCTGCCTTCCAAGTGCTGGGGTTCAAGGTGGGTGCCACCACACCCAGCTGGTTGAATTTCTTTTTAAAGTGTGGTGGATTGAGAAGTGTGGCCATTGGGTGACTGGAGAGATGGCTTAGCAGTTAAGAGAGAGCACTTGTCCAATCATTAGAACTGAAGTTTGGGTCTCAACTCCCACATAGCAAGCCAGGTACCTCACAGATAACTTGTGACCCCAGTGCACTGCTCTGGCTTCCGCCTGTGCACAGGCACATAGACACACACATAAAAATGTAGGGCCAGAGACAGCTCAGCAGGTAAGATCATTTGTTCCAATTCTAGATGCCCAGGGTTTGTTCCTGGCACCCACATAGTGGTGCTCACAGCCACTTGTAACTCCAGTTTCTGGGGATCTGTCTAGTACATTCTTCTGGCCTTTTGCATGAGGCATACATATGATGCACATCCATGCATGCAAGCAAGCACTCTTACACATAAAGTAAAAATAAGTCTTGGAGGAATGGCTAAAAAAAAAAAGCTGCCTACCCCCAAACTTGATGATCTATTCCTGGCACCCACACGGTAGAAAGAGAGAACCAGCTCCCAAAGTTGTCCTCCTACACACACACACACACACACAATCGGGAAATGTAGACGCAGTAAAATGCAAAGACTTGGGACTGGAGAGATGGCTCAGCCTTTGAGAGCACTGGTTGCTCTTTCAGAAGACTCAAGATTCAATTCCCAACACCACATGAAGTTCAGGGGACCTGATGCCCTCTTCTGGAGTCCATGGGCACTAGGCGCACACATGGCTCACAGACATACTATGCAGGTAAGACACCCATAAACATAAATAAAAGTAAAAAATTTTAAAATGCACGTAGGCCAGCAGCACTCAGGAGGCAGAGATAGGTGGAACTCTGTGAGTTTGAGGCCAATCTGGGCTACATAGCAAGTTTTAGGCCAGCCAGGCTGCATGGTGAGCCCCGTTTCTTTCTTTTTGTTTTCTTTTTTTCTTTCTTCTTCTTTTTTTCCTTTTCTTTTTTTTTTTTGTTTTGTTTTGTTTTGTTTTTTTGAGACAGGGCTTCTCTGTGTAGCCTTGGCTGTCCTGGAACTCTCTCTGTAGACCAAGCTGGCCTCGAACTCAGAGAACTGCCTGCCTCTGCCTCTGCCTCTGCCTCTGCCTCTGCCTCTGCCTCTGCC